TTCTTGGTTGGATTTTTTGTGCTGCAGAGATAAATGTGAAATGTCTGTTCGAATGCTATCAAAAGAGAGATTTAGTATGGTCATATGGGATAAAAAGAGACTGACAATTTTGTGGAAGTCAACTAGATACCTAAAAGCTGTATATTTCTTCTAGGTCAAAAATGTAGAAAGAGTCTCTGCAGGCCCTGCTAAAGTAGACAGTTATCCTTAATATTTTCTCTATGGGTCCAAATATGCATGATATACACCAAGTAGATTAGGATATGGAAGAGTATCTTCTATCCTCTAATTGTAAAGTACTTCTTTGCAAACTGTGATAAAACCTCAGATTACCCAGAATACTTAGAGTTGCACTTCAGATTACCCAGAATGCTTAGAGTTACAATTCGCAGCATCTGTGTGAGGATTAACCAGAAAAATTAAGATACATGTTTCCACGTGTTTATAATCCATTACATTTCAAAACTCATAACAAGGCATCACCTGTAATACCTAATACATATTCTACATGATCTTAAGGTGATATTCCATCTCAGTCTACCAATGCCAAAGGATAAACATCAAAAGAATTTCATCTCCATAGGTGTGCACTTAAATATATAAATCTATTATCTCTAGATCAGGTGTCTCCTGGCCCCTCCTTCCCTTTGAGATATAAATTAGATAATTCAAAGGAGATGGAAAGAAGCAGGCAGTAAGTTGCTGAACCTGGTCATCAACCTGGAGCTACCAACTGGCCAGCCTCTGGGGTGTCCCCCACCTGGTTATGCTCTGCAATACTGAGGGTCACTAGCTTGTTCATACCCTTGGGAACAATTCCTCAAAGGCGGACCAGAGAGCTTTGTGCACTCCATTACTGTATTTTTCTGACATAATACACATAACTTATTAAGCAGAATTAAATCTTTGATGAATTCACAGTGCTTCAAAGTCATGATTTTGACATCAGTGACAATCTTAGACAGCAAACTGTAGGAGATTAGAAAGATGCTGTATTGACCAAAGGAAAGATCCTGGAGTTGGCTTTTTGACTAAGACTCTGATAAGTGTTAGCTTTATTTTAACTCTTCCTTTCAAAAATGAGACACAGTCAACAACACCATAATGTCTAACATTAGGATGCATTTAGGAAAAAATGGTATTTGATAGGACTCGATCCAGGTAGTAAGTAAATCTTCACAAGGGAAAATCATGAAATCATAAAACTGGAAGGAATAGTTAAGATCTACCAGCCACATTCCCTTTTCTTCTTATATCTGAGGAAAATGAGAGCAAACTATATAAAGCTATTTACCCACAGCCACCTGGCCAGTCATCAGAAGGACCAGAACCCTTGTCTTTGACTCTTCTAGCTATGCAGATCGCTGAAGATGAATGTGTTAGTGTTTACTTGGTTCTCTAGACACTAAATTCACTGATGAATGATATATTTTCTATATAAATCGATGAAGTATAAGTTAAACTTCTGAAAAGAGGGAAATACATTTCAGAAAGCTGCTAAATTTACTACTCACAGTAGCGTGACAACAGAATTTCACTTCACTACAACTTGTTGTTTCATTATTGCTTCACAGGGATACAATAAATCCTGGAAAACTATGGTTTTGAAGTTGTGTTCACTCTCCTGGATCATTAGGATATTACTCTGCAGATTTCAACAATGACGTATCAACTTTTAGTCTAGGACCACAAACCAAAAACAAAAAATAAATTAATAGTTTTACAAATGTCTCACAGTCACTAGAAAAATCTCCTACTTTACAGAAATACTTGAAATTATTTAAAGTTAAATAATTCTCTTGGAGTATTTAAAGTTTAATTATTTAAAGATGAAAAGCAATCTTCAAAGATGTTGTGCTTGAATTAAAATAATATGGAGCCATATTTTACAGCATGATAACAATGTTTTAGAAACAAATCTAAACTTGTTCATACTAAAGAAAGGAACAATGATTTTTTTTTTAATTTAAAGCCATCTCTACTATCTCCAGTAACTCCCTTGCAGGAGAGTTTAATTTGCTAATTAGACTGATGGTACCTGCCTTCATTGTGACTTATGGGTAATTAGATGTTACAACTGAACTACTAAGAGAGAATGGACCCCAAAGGGCAGTCAACCAGATCATTATCTGAGGAAAGCAAGCTAATTATCACCGTAAAGTTCAAACTAGAGGAACTCATCTAAATATCTAGTGGACTCTCTGGGGTCAAATCCTTACGTTTAGTGAATTCACACCATACAATCTTTTTATTACATTAAAAATGGACTTTGATATAAGAAAAATTTACAGAATCAGAAAATGTGTACAGAGGGAAAGAAAACTCACAGAGCTAGACCCAATGAGTTCCAGAGAATTTCTTATAAACCATGGAATATGGAAGTCTGCATCTGAAGTTAGGACAAGCCCACCCAGGTGACTGACAACCTTTTAATTCCCTTTTTGGAACTCCAGGAAGTGAGAATATTCTGCAGTGACTTCCTCTTATGTGGCTATAGTAAATACTCCACGCCTCCAACAAATAAGACCCCATGATCCCTGGAAATCAGGGGGAGAGACCTAAATGCATCTTGGAGCACTGAGCTGCTACTCAGCATTGTATAATTGACAAAAGAACAATGAGGATTAAAGAAAGGGGAAAGAACACTATTTGTGGGCTTAACAGACATGATCTATGTGGGTTTTTTGTTGTTGTTGTTGTTGTTTTTTTAGTTTCCAATGACTATCTTGACAGTATTCTATGAGATAAGCATTTTGCGGTCCAAACAACCAATTTACAAATAAATTGGCATAACGCTTCTTGTTTGTTAATTGGTAATACAGAAATGTTTCAACGCCTAAGTAAATTACAGTCATGAGATTATGAAGTTTTCTTAAATGTTTATTACTGTAGAAATCCTGGCAGAACATGGCCTTTCAGGACTCTGGCACATACAACATCTTCATATTGTTCAACTGTGTTGCTTTGGCTTTAGTTCCCTGACAAGGTAGTAAAGCTCCAGGCTTATTTGCAGTTGAGGTTGTATTGTAGAGTTTTTTGAAATTTTCTTTGCAGTTTCCACACGGGGTAGCCAGAGAGTCTTTGTGGTGGGGAAGAGTGAGCAAAGTGGGATGTGCAGGAGGTGGGCCCTCTGAACAGCAGGATGTTCCAGAGCAAAGAGGGACAGGATGGAACTAGCCTCTGCAATACTGCTTAAACACCCATGTGTTACTTTATTACTTACCAGAACTTCCTTCCTTACATTTGCAATAGATATAAGAGAATGAATTATCAGTATCTCACCATGTAATAGAACTTTCATATGTTTTGTACTTTGGGCTCAGCATTCAAAAGCTTTCTTCAAATGGAAATGCTGTTCCTCTTCATCAGTACAAGGGCTTACTCAAGGCTCCAGTTACTGCCTTGGTAAATGTTTGTTGAATGAATAAATGTTGCTAGGTCTCTAACCAAAGCCTAACTCAAAGCTTGACTATCTGCTACATTCTAAAAGTCAAAAAAAAAAAAAAAATGTCCCCAAACCCTTACTCATCCATGTCACTTTAATCCATGTCACTTTATAGACTTCCCTCCCAGGACTATTCTGATTCCAAATGCTGGAATCTAGCTTCCCATAGTCTCATCTCCATATCTCTGTTAGGGACAAGAAGAACAATAGAGAAGGGGACATATTTTGAACTAAATCATCTCTGATTCTTTCATAGTGAAAATTAGAAAGCCAAATACCCCTTTAATTGACCCATCTGTAAAACAGTTATAAACAGTCCCAAAAAGGGAAATTAAAGGTTTTTTTTWAAATACTACACTAATAATGATAAGAAATAAGAATAAACTTTTGTATTCAGAGAAATGTCAATATAGAATAATTCTGATATCTGTTAAATTGGAAGCAGAAAGGGATTATGTAACTTACATGAACCCCTGTTACAATGGATTATGGAAGAGACTTAATATTATTGCCTTTGATTACAGACCTGCAAAGAATTTTTGAAAAGTAAAAAAAAAAAAAAACAGAGAGCACACTGCATACTGAGATTCCATTTCAATGGATATTGGGTTATACTTGTCAGAGATTCCAATAAAGCTCTCATAATGTCTTAGATATGGCAGAGTAAGAGCAGTGGATATAAAATATATAAGAACATATCCCACAGAAAGCCACCAAATGCACTTATTTCCCATAAAAGAGAACAAAAGATTGATGCATTTTATCACAGACAGTAGGAAATGTTTTATTCTGTAAGTTATTTGATTTGATTTTGTTCCTGCTGTTTGTTTTTAATTAGAAGATGAAGCATTTCCAAATTTAAAAAGCTAAGGAACATCTCCAGGTCTTAAATAGCTAAGTTCAAAATGACTGTATAGTATTTCTTCAGCTTTCCTTTTCCATACCTATTTCTGTGCACATCAGTCACCTTTCCACTTTGAATTACAAGCCCAAGTTGGACTTGCTCACGAGTTTGCTATTACTCTGTATGGACAGAATTCTGTTTGGTTCTATTGACTTGACAAATATTTTTCTTTCTCATTTTACATGCATTATTTTCAGCCCACAGAATCCTAGGCAAAGCTTTGCCATAAAAATCCCCCTTGTTGAGAAGAGCCCATATGCCAGGATGTTCGTCTGACTTCACACAACAGGAACCAGAGGGCAATGCCCACCTTGGCAAGTGCTGGCCAGGATTAACATGATGGCCACCTGCCAACAGTAACTGCATGACAGAGCTCTGGTGTGTCACTGCATTCAAACAAAGGCAGTATTTGCAGATTATGAAACATTTGGAGAAATAAGCATAAAACCTCTAAGCACAAAATCTTATAAGTATCTCTGCTCTAGATGAGGAGAGGAGAAGCATGGAGAGGAGAAGCATCTATCTTCAATCTTTGAAGATTTTATGTTAGGATTCATCATTCGCATACTCTCTATGCCCAGCATCCATGACTGATTGTACTATGACTAATGTTGTATCATTCTTCCTATGCATTCTCTATTTGTTTCCTAGAACACTTGAAGGATAAGTTAGAGGAATACATGGCTCGGTTTTCCAAAGTGAGAATTGTTCGTACCAAGAAAAGAGAAGGACTCATCCGGACCAGACTCCTGGGCGCATCTATGGCCAGAGGAGAGGTGCTGACCTTCCTTGACTCCCACTGCGAGGTCAACGTGAACTGGCTGCCCCCACTCCTTAGTGAGTATAATTGTCACTGAGGCACTCTGGGAACTTTGGGGGCCACAAGAACTACAGCCCTGAAGAGTGAGAGCAAGGTGCTGCAACAAAAGCTAGAGACCCTTCTGTAATTTTATCAGAGGGGTCCTTGAATTACTTCTGAACTGCTGTTGAGGATAAACAGACAACTAGAAAACCACATTGAAACTGATATTTTAGGGCTGGGAGTACAGCTTAGGGATAGAATGTTGCCTAGCATGAACAAGTCCCTGGGTTCAATTCACAGTACTGCAGGAAAGAAAAAGGTAAATAGTATTTTAATAATTTAGATAATATCAACTATAATCTAATCTAAGATTTTTAAAAATTTTTCATTTATCTTAGACATCCTCCTTTATAGTAGTTTTATTGTAGTTACATTCATTGGGTAAATACTAAAAATGAACTTTTTTACAGTCATCTCTTAATTACAATAAGACTCAGATGCACATATTATACTTTAACAATTATTACAGGATTCTTAAAGAAAAGAGGAAGTAAAATTATYACAACCCAGTATAGAGTTAAAGTAAAAAGCACTTTGCCATTTTCTAGGATTTATAGTGACATTTTTGTTGTTCCTTCCACTCCTGGCACCAGCCTATAACCCTAAATATAGAGATGCTCTCAGTATGATAGATCTTAAGTGTGCTTGCTGTGGCTAAGAGAGGGGGAAGAAGGGAGACTGTCACATGGCACATGGACTGTTAGAAACATGAATGAACAGAAACTAATTCAAGTGAGAAATGTTAAGTGTGGCTCAGTTCAAGCTCCAATATTTTTGTTTTATTTTAMACTGAAGTCAGCTATAAGTTGTAGCTAAGAAATAAATTGTATGCCTGAAAAAAAAAAAGTTTTGGGGTGCACATCATTGAACTTCTTCCTGTTCTTCCAGATTTTGCCCAATCTTCTTTTATTGTAAATAAATCCCTGACCTCAGAACTAGAGCCACTAACAACTGCCTATATGATAGCTGTCTCAGGAAGAATGATTTGCCGTTGAATACTGTGTAGGATTTCAACTAGAAYGAGCCAAGCTCCATTAGTAAAAAGATGGGTGGGGAAGGGGGGAGGATATTGATTGAAACTGTATAGGATTTAAAACAGAGAGCAACCAGCAACACCCCCACCACATTGCCCATCCACACACCCCTGTATAGATGACTGCYAGCCATCCTAATCAACAGGAATGTTTCAGTCTCCTATAGTCAGAGACTCCTCTGAGCTTTTAATTAAAAGTACCTTGTTCAAGGACATAGCAATTTAAAGCTTCATCAGCAACAGTGAGATCCCCTCAAAACTGAATTTGACCTATATGGTGTTGAATACTCAAGGAAGTCAGCAAAAGGCCTACCTTATTTATGAACCAAAGCAATCCCTAAATGCCAATTATGGAGTCTCTGATTGTTCGCTAGGAATCTAACAGAAAGAAAAAAATGAAGAAAGAGAAAAAAAAAAAGAGAGAAGAGAAGAGAAACCCACAACCCACTTTTTCTCATTAAAGCATTTCATTTCCTGTAGGCCTGATGGATAAGAAATGATTCAAGCTCAGGATCGCTATCTTTTTTTATTTTCCTCTATCAGTGTCTTGACACATCATCCAAAATGAAAGAACAGGCGGAGCCACACAGTTTTGTGGTTCATTTTTCACCTTGGGATTATACCTGAATTTCAATTTCCTATTAAGAGTCTGTTTGTTTGATCCCTGGAAATTGAAATGTAGGCACAAGCCTTGGATGAAAAATTAGTCATGCAGCTTTCACCCTAAGCTAGTWCAGCTGGAGGAGAACTGAAAGGAAATTTGAACGGAAAGTTGACAGTTAATTTAACAGACTCATTCTCTTCGGGTCACCTTGGGACTCCTTGTTGGTCAAGGAACTTGTAAATCAACCCGATTCTGAGTTTGATTGAAGAAAGTCAGTGAAACCTTAATACTAAAATACCTACAGAGGTGATAGAGGAAATATATTGGACACAGCACTGATGGTCTCCTCTGTCAAAGACATCTCTGGGGAAACACCATTTATATAAAGATTAAAAACCATTAGAAGGCTTGCCCAGGTGAAAATGGATGCTTAGAGAGCCCTTGGAGGAGGTGAACAGGAAATAGTGCTGGGAATCTCTCCATCTACTAATTAGCAGATGGGAGCCATACTATCTAAAATTGCAACCGTTTCCACACCCCAGCATTCCATATTCCCCTAACCCTCTTTTGTTTTCTTTCCATCATCTCATTTATCACCTTTTAAAACACTAGTGAATTTAGTGATTTTTTTTTAATGTTTCTTAATTGTTTTTTCTCCATTCCTGAAGACAGTGATTTTTGCGGTGGTGTTCACTGCTGTAGCCCCTAGGATAGTGACTGGCACAAAATTTTACCTCGATAAATAATTATTGAAATACAAATGAATGAAATGCCTGTAGCCCAGAAGCCAAGATCTTCTACAGAATTTTGTGGTCTCTACACCTTGTTTTATCAGCAGCATCAAAACAAGGCCACTTGTTATTACAGCCAATAAAACCTTTTGCTTCCTGCCCTATGCTTTGGAGAACCTTGTGAAGCAAATGGATATCCTCCGTACTATAAGAACTTTTCCCTGACACAGATTACACTAACTTCTGGATCTCTGGGGAAAAAAAAATATAATATGGAAATAAGCAGATCCCAGAATATTTCKAAATGATACCCTTTGTTTAATGTCACATGCCACATCCAAAGGTCTTCCAAATAACAAGAGAGCAGATGTTCCCACTTAAACATTCTGTGTGTCAGACAGTATTGGTTTGTTATAATAAATATTGATTAAATGCACATTCTTGGGAAGGTGCTTCACACACAGCTTTTCTATATGAACCCAAGTATGTTAATGCCAGTTCCCTGTGCTGACTGACAGTGTCACCACAATAACAATATCTACATGGGAAATGAGAGGGGGAAAAATCATCTCTGCTACAATGAGAAACACCCTGGCAACCTGGAAAGATGGGTTTTGAACCTGGACAGTTAAACGGAGGTTCACTGTGGCCCTCAAAAACTGAGTGATCCTCTTGACAAGTTACTTAATTTTTCTGAGCTCAGTTTCCTCATGCGTAGATTTGGAGTGACAATAATTGCCACCTCACATGGTGTATAGGAGTATTAGAAATAGAATGAGTATAATTCACTTAGTAATTGCTCAAAAATTTAATAGTAGCAGTACTATGAAATTTAGTACGATAGTACCGAAGTACTGTCGTACCACCTAACACTTTTTGGATATGATCTGAGAACATAAAGTGACTTTGATAAACAGAGTATGTCTCAAAAACAGTGACAAAATAGGACTGGACAAAAATCTCTGGTCAGTTGAGAACAAAGAGTTTTGTGTATGATCTGTCAGCATTTAGGGGGAAACAGCCATCGTGACTTATACGATGAGATGCTACAAAACTCATAAAGTTAAATATTTACATTTTGGAACCTCTAGAAAAGCAGGCCAATATTTTCTCAGCAGGCTCCAGCTGTATGCTTGAGGGAACACAAGTACTGTTTATACTCTGTGCATGTTGGATGCATGATAAAATGACAGATTGGGGACAGGTCAGAGCAAAAATGTGACAGAGGTAGAGCTAAATGGACCTCTGCGAGTCTCTATGGGACATAACTTTTTTAAGGAAAATACAACAACTCTAATTGTACCTAATCACTGTCCCATCACATTATGTCCAACATTCAGAGATTCCTGCAAAGTGCTCTGGCTACGACAGGAAGCCAAAGCCGCGAGCATTCTGCATTAGTAGGGATGTGTAAGCTTCTCTTTGCTGCAAAATGATAGATGACCTAGGCAGGCATGTCATTTCCTATTTTGTGCTTTCATTTTTCAGACCAAATTGCACTAAACCACAAAACCATCGTGTGTCCCATGATCGATGTCATTGACCACAATCACTTTGGGTATGAGGCACAAGCTGGGGATGCCATGCGYGGAGCCTTCGACTGGGAAATGTACTACAAAAGAATTCCCATCCCTCCAGAGCTCCAGAGGGCAGATCCCAGCGACCCTTTTGAGTGAGTAGCAGCTGAGGGAGGGGACGAGGGAGAAAGGGCAGGTAACACATTCCACCTGAGTCAAACCTGGGACCCATGAGGACAATTATCTCTGATAAAATGGAACAAAACAGGTGGTAACAATATGCAAAACACCAGAGAAAGGTCAGATGTACAAGCTGTAGAAAATCACAAGCTGTGCTGGATACATGTATCACCTCTTCTCAAACTTTGTTAAGCATAACAGAGAGTGTGTAGGGATAAAAAGAATCAGGAAAATGTGCAATTATCAGAAAATACATGGAAGAGAACTCAATGTTCTCCTTTGAAACATCCTCTTATTTACAGCTCTCTGGGAGTTTTTGTTTGTTTTGTTTTGTTCTATTTTTTTCCAAAAGGAGTATTGAAATTAACTATTTTAGTTTTCTTTTACTGGGAATTGATATAAAATGTGAACCAAAACTTAAGCCTACATTCTATACCCTACTGGAAATTGTCAATTTATTATGAAAGGTGCTACTCCTGAGTAGGCAATTCTACAAGTTAAATTTGGGGAATTCGATCTAACTGACCCATCTAAAGTAAATATTCTTTCATAACTCTGCCTCTAGTGTAACTATTACTTAGAAATAAAACTTACAACAGTAATCTATCAATTTCTACAAAACTAAATCCTTTTTTTTTCCTATTGTGGACACAAGATTGCATATTTCAAGAAAAAGAAAAAAAAGACATAATGCTTACTTTGACAACTCTCAGGACCAACCATTAATGGTGAAAGATAAAATGTTATCAACAATTAGCCAGAGATTGCCTAAGGTATAGCATAGCTATTCTACATACTGCACCCTTGATCTCATTAAGTCTATATCATTCTATTATACATTTTTATTAGTACAAGAAAATTGTCTATGATCAAGGATTTGCACATTCTGTAAGAGCCCATTTTAAATGTATTCAAATCAATATTGTATTTTTATCAATAACATGAGCTGTCAACGTTGGGAATGGAGAAGATACTGAAAACAAAAGCCACTTCTATGATACTAACTCTAAATTCCAATAAACCGTTAATAATTACCAGAAAAAATGTTTCCTCCAGTGCTAGTCTCTAGAAAGATGGACTCCTGGGGAAGCAGAGGAAATTTCAGAAGTTATTTGCCAGATACAATGGAACAAAGTGAKTTCTTTTTTGAAATGAAGCACCCTCATTAAATATACAGAGCTTCTAGACTTAGTGATTTGAGATCTTCAGATCTCAAATGACTGGAAAGTTTTTGAAAAAAAAAATAATGAAGAGCCTTTATTACTCCCTCATATGCACTGGCCAAAATTTCATGCGTATTTAAAACTACTAAAGAAGGTTTTTAGGCATCTATATAAAGGAGTTTCTAGTAAGCAATTGAAGTGGGCGGGCTGAGAGATGCTCCCCAGACTTCCCTGAAGGTACCCATCTTAAAGTCTTGGCAAAGAGACTTAAGCCCCTTTGGGATAAATAGTAAGTGGATGAGGCAATGCATATGTTGATTTAGCCATTCCACAATACCAAAATGTCTCAAAACATATCATACACCATAATTACAAACAATTTGAATTTACTGAAGAAAAAGCAAATAAGAAAAAAAGTAAAAAATTATTTCAAATCTTGAAAAGAAAGTTGTGGGGGTAGGGGATTTGGGTGTGGTGGCACAAGCCTGTAATCCAGGGCAGCTCCTGAGGCTGAGGCAGGAGGATCCTGAGTTCAAAGCCAGACTCTGCAAAAGTGAGGTGCTGAGCAATTCAGTGAGACCCTGTCTCTAAATAAAATACAAAATAGGGAATGTGGCTCAGTGGTCGAGTTCAATCCCTGGTACCACCCCAAAAAGGGGAGGTGAAAGAACAAATATGCCCTAAGAATAGCAGAACTGTTATCATACAGATGGCAGCAATTGTCACAGTGCAACTGCTGCAATCCTAGGTTACCATGTTTCAAGGGCTAGCATTGATCCTTGATGACTTTCCAAAGGCTGTAATAATAACTGTAATAATAACTAACAATGACCTTTTACTTTACTTGCACCATGATGGCAGAGCGAAACTTTGCTTTCTGAAACCCTGGTACCAAAATGCTCCCAAAGGACTCTAACATATTCTGAGTGCCTACACTAACGGTCAGGCAGACCCTCGCTGTGGCTATCACAATACCAAGCACCTTGCTTAACCCCAGAGCTGACAGAATTGGTAACCTTCAGAATGAGATTACCCCTTGTTCCTGTCACCAACTTAGGTGGTTACTGTCATATCAAAAATTGCACCCGTCTATGGAATATTACCCTCGTTCTGCTTTAAGTCCCTTTGATGCCAAAGAATGTGGACACTTTAACCTTTTGTAATAAATGTAACTTCCAGGAGGTGTCCACTTTGATCTTAAAAACTGCATTTCCTTCCTAATAATAAAAGAATGGTTACCCAAGTGCTCAGAGCCGTGTATCAGCAATTCCATTATCGCAGCAGTCACCAGAATGTGCTCATAAACAGACGTGCTGTAGGCTAAAACTTGCTTCTCTAAGATGTAAAGCCTTAAGATACACAGAGCAAATGCAGTCTACCCATATATCTCTCTCAAAGTCTTTCATGTTTCAAGAGGCTGCAGGGTTTTGCCATTTATCTATGGGAAGATGGGGGATGCTAATAAGACGGGAAGAAGGCAAAGAATGAGGATATATAAATGTTTTGCACTCAGCTTGACTTTTCATACAATATATATGCAAAAATTATCTTTTTCCTAACAGGTTTATCAGATGGCTTAAAGAGGCTACCTGAGTTTGCATATTTACATTGCCATTTATTTGACTTTTTCATGTCTAATCACTGGATAGAGCAGTGTTTTTCAACCTGAAAATCCTGTGAAATAAGTGGGATATGATCAATATCTATTAATCAATTGATTTGAATTGAATTAACATTTTCTGGGTATTCTACTGTACGTGAGCATGTGTTATTTGTCAAATATTCAATTTCAGTCGTAATGCATATATGATCCTGGGGTGTGGCATAAACTGTATTTCCCAGTATAGCTCACACAATCAAAAGAATTCAAAATCCACCAACTTCCTAAACTAGGAATCAAGACCTTCAATGATCTGACCAGAAAAAAAAAAAAAGGCGAATTGATGGATAACTTTGACAGTGAGAAAATTAAAATTTACTTACACTTATAAAGGAATGTAGTTTTTAGACACATGGCTCCCAGAATATGATAGAAAATGTAGCACTAAGGATTCTAGTTACTATATGGCAGTCATAATTTGGCTCGGGCTGGATAAATTTCAGGAACATTCCTGAGTTTTGATTAGAGAAAACCAYGGTGATCCCCTTTTTTCCATACAATGGTATGGAATGCTTTTAGGAAATGCGCACTATTCAAGGTTCTTAGATAGCATCCTCACTCCTGGGTCATCTTGAATGCAGAGCACTTAATTAAGCATGTAACCTTTTCTGTGTGACAAAACATATCTCTCTTTAACCACAATGGTGAAGGGAAAAATTGCCTTTTTCTATCTGACCACTAACTTCTTCAACCTCATTTGATTGTCTAACAGTTTAGAAAGAACTAGAAGAAACTGTCTTGCCAAGTTTCTTGGTCAATGCAAGCAATCACTAGACAGTGTCCAGAACCGTGTCCAGTCTCTGCTGAAACTCATCAGGAAACTAAATTTGCTGCCTCAAAAGGCTGCCTATTTCAGTAGACTTATTGACAGGAACCTTTTACTTTGCATTAAAAAAAAAAAAATCTGTCTCCCTGATCCCAAATTGTCCTACTTGAGATGCAAGGAAAGTCTAATAACTCCTCAATGACAGAGCTGCTATAAGAATTTGAAAACAGCTGCCTTGTGTCTGCCTCCTAGGAGAGAAAAAAAAAAAAAAGAAAAGAAACTTTTTTTTCTTTTCCAAGCTAAATATTTCCTCTTCTACCACCATGTTTTCTGGGTCCTCCAGAATCCTGTAAAAGTTCATGCTTGTTGATATAAACTGTTCAATAAATAGAAATTCAGTTGACTACTGCAATCTCACCCACGTTTCAACAATTTGTCAACAAAAATAGCAAGACACACTTTGTCCAATGTGCTAGGAACTCAGATCCTAAAATACAACCTCGTCAGCCTTAAAAGTAAAGTTAATTTACTGGGAATTTGTGTTAGTTCCCAGGGATCATGCTTCCTTTTCCCAAGTCTTCACAATCAATTCAGCAACTCATTCAGTTTTGAAAGTTCACTGTATTTTTCAAAATCCACCTCTATCCTGACTTTGAATTGGAGAGAAATTACTTTTACACTGCCAACTTCCTCAGATCTCCACAGATCCTCAAAGACTTCCATAACATAGAGTTTGAATCATTCTGGGTGGAATTCTAGCACACAACTGTTAGTGAGGACTAACATCTATTTCCCACCAATATATACCACCAATTTTAGAAATTTCAAAAATAAGGAATCCATTGTCAGGAAGGAAAACTCACAGATTACATACATCTATTCATTCTTTCAGAAACCCCTACGTTCAAAGGCTTATGTGTTTACAGTCAGTGATTCCTCATCTAGGGTCACTACCCAACCTAAAATGTTGCTGGGTATGGATAGTAATGGCTTCAACCTACTGTCAAGCACTTCAAGGTTTCACTAAAAACACTAAATATCCCCTGAGGCCTAGGGCCAATTTAGAAATCCTTGTGAGCTGGTTCTGCTGTTCAGAAGCATGAAGCCTAGCCCTTGCTAAAATGGATTTAAGTACTACTTCTCAGTTACAGAGACTTATACCACTATTGCATGAAAGTCGAACACCTTCCAAAAATTTACCGTGTCCTCCTTTGTCCTTCCAAAGGACAAAGCAGGAAATTTTTGACTTTCTTTTTTATATAAGAGAATGACAAAGTTTTGATGCCTATGCTATGTAGTAGTCACTGCTTATTAGGAACAATTTTTTTTTTCTAAATTAATACCTGGAGTAGGATATTTTAAATGTGAAATAATCACACATTTATC